TCTAATTTGATTTTTTTAGCTTGTTGTTGATACTCTTCTCTGAGTTTTGGACTTAATTTACTCCACAAATATCCAATTAATCTTGAAACTTCATGATTACTTAAATAACTGTACTTATCCTTAACTATATGGTATATTTGACTTCAAAATATCATAAAACTATTTGGAGGTTTTTTTACTGATTTTTTATTATAAAGTGTGTTTGCTACTGTATTTAAAATAAATGATAGAATTTTTATATTTAATCCAGGCAATTCCTTAATCATATCTTTTGAAATTACATTCTCACTGTTTCGTAATAAAATTGGGGAATAACCACTTGGAATGAAAACAGTAATTCTATTAACTCCATTACCGATTTTAATATTGGAATATAGGTTGGTTTCTTCAATTGGAGTAAAATTGTCAAGATTCATAAATATTGACTCGTCTTTTCTCTTTGAAATTTTATTATTAAATAAATAGATTTAAAACAATGCAAATGAATTAAAGACAATTTATTTAATTTTTACAATTCATTTTTCTTTATGACAGATGTCTACGGATTGCATTTTTTGTATGACAATCTGAATAAATTGTTTATTACTCAATAACTGATGTATTGTAGAAAGTGTGCCAATGAAGCCATTATAATTACACTAGGCATTATTTTGTGGTAATGAATTGAGCGACCAGAACCTGTCATCTGTGTTGATTTTATCGCTAATGCATTATCTAAAAAAGCTCTCTATTTCGAGACAATGTAATATCAAGTAAATTAAATTTAATTGATTAAGTATATATTATATATACATACATCTATTAAGTTTGAAAAATCTTTGTTTATACAGGGAGAGGTTAAAATTTTCATCCAAATTATATCCTGGGCATTATTTCGAGATAATACAGTAATGCCAGGGATTTCTAAAAGTTTTCAAAAAGAAAATAAATGCACAAATAATTTTTACAGGTATGTAAATTCACGTGATCTTATGGCCATGGAAATCAATTTCATAGACATAATTTTGAGTTATTCTGATTTAAAAATTTTGAGATTTTTGTAACTGCTAGTAACAAATAGATTCGCCTATACAGATAATCGTGATTGTAACACATAAAATTGTCTATTCAACGGGACTATACATAAATTTAATTTACAATAGCGATAGTATATACATTTAACACCCCGAACATGACAACAATAATTCATTCTAATCAAAATCATTTGATACACTTTATTAAATTTTTTTTCAAGAAAATATATTAATTAAATAATTCATTAGATTTATTAATTTGAAAGTGCATGAAAAACTGATAAATTATATGTTAATAACACAAGGTAATTAAGAATATCAAGATCTAAACAATGATTCTTTTCATCTAGAAACAGCCCTCTATTAGGAGCAGAAAAGGCCGGAATTGATAAATATTTTCTAGCAAGTTTTGCCATTGTAGGAAACAAATGTGTGTTCTTATTCGACCACTTTAAAAAATTATTTTCCTCTGTTACAGGTAATTGAGGTAATTCAAGATATTTATCAAACGCAGTTTGTCCAGTTTCTTGAATAAATATATGAAAAAATGTCAACGTTTTTGAATCTATATCTATAGTGTCAGAAGTTACTGGTTCTGCAAGTTT